CCCCCCACAGCCCCTCTGTTTTTTTTCGGAAAACAGACTACCCCGGCTGCTCCTCTGAAACTGACAGCTTAGGCTGCCACTCTCTACAGCTCCCATCATTCAATGGGTGTTAGAAACCTACACGTATAGCTACCAAAGCAAGCCATTGGGTGGGGCTTTAACTAAAACATGTTAACATTAATTACAATTAATGTATATTCTGGTGTCTTCAATATTGTGTGTTTAGTGGGACACAGGAGGAGAGTAAGCTAAGTGTCCTCCAGCCTGAAGAGACTGCAAGCCTGACTTTCTATCATCACTGCCCCATATCCACTCTCCTTCAACAGATGAAAGTGGAAAAGGACACTTTAAAATGTCCAAAAGTTTGGCCTTTTTCTTATGTTTTCCTTGGATTTCATTGCAGAGGGAAAAGCAATGCAGTATTGAGAAACAATCACTCCAGCTAACGACCACAAAGAACATAGTCAGCAGGAGAGAAAAAACCACAGCTCGCTGATTGTGTTTCTTGAATTGAGCTTGACAAGCCTGAGGTTGTGTGTCTTTCGACAGAGCAGAAAGGACCTTTTGAAAGGTACTAACCTTGGAGCATCTGAGCACTGACATATTAATCTTAAACTGCAGAGGGGCTTCTTAGAAAGCAGCACAATACTCCAGATTGGATGAGTCATTAATAAAAGCTTAATGGGGAGCAAGGCAAAGTGACAGCATCTGCAAGAAATAGCCTCACACTTCTGTGGTTTTTAAAGCTCTGGTCAACTTCCTATAGAATGGAGGGGTGGGGGGGGGAAGAATCCAAGGGCTTAATTCACCCCCACTGGATGGAAAAAATGCAAAAAGGTGACAAGTGAATTTTGCAAACTGCTATAATGCGGAGAATTTTGGGTGCCTTTGAAATTTCATAGAAAATAAATACTTGGGGAGTCTAAAATCATGCAAAAAGTTATCACCAACCTGGTGTTTTTATTTCACATTTTCTCACCAATTTCAGCCAGATCTACCACTTTCACATATGTAAAACAATCCTATGATATTTTACCAACCGTGCTGTATCTGTGAGACTCTCGTTAACACCCAAATGTATGTCCTGGGTTGTAAGGAAACAAGGATGTCCCCCAAGGAGAGCAAACCCTGCAAAGATTAAAAACAAAACACAATCTGAATGGTTACAACTTGAGATTTAAAAATAAATCCCAGAGAACAGGTATTTGCAACAACAACAACTGCAGTAAGAGAGGCACCCCCTTGTTTGGAACTTTTAATTCCAGACGTCACAAAACACTGGTAAATACACACTAGGGTGAAATCCATTCAAGTACAGACAGCCCTCCTAAAGGCCTTTAGATATCACTTCAGTTCTATGTTCAAGGCAAAATCCATGCAAGTTCATGCATGGTAATAACCATCACTGAATCCCCACATTAATGGCTGGGTTATTCTTTTCTTACACTAGTTTATAGCCACTGATCTTAGTGAAGGTACACATGTGTATACATCTAGTTTAAGGGAGATTAGGATCAGGCCCTCAGGATGAAATTCACTCCTGTGCAGGCATAAGACCTATGTGCCATTTTAAGTGGGACTTAAGTACTGGGCCTCTGCACTGATGTGATTTTTACCTTATGGGCCAGATCCTGGCCTCTGTTCTGCCTGCTTTTCACTGCTCCAGTGTGTGATAGCTATCTTAAAGAGCTGGTTGAGAATGATCCCAACATAAGGGAAAATCGCCCTATGCCACTTGCCTTCCTAGCCTCAGCATGTTGGCCACAGTCTGGGTGGGGAAGGCCTGGCTGGAGTGTTGCTGTGGGGGCTGTTGCAGATGGGCATAATTTAGCCCCACTCTGACAATGTTCTAAATGAGATGCTTGAGGGAGCACAAGGCTGGTTTAAAGCCATATTTATGCCCCAACTGCTGAGATGCAGTGATTGTAGCTCTGGTGCCGCTGAAGGTCTGGGCCTAAAGGATTAAATTGGGCTTAAGTGGCCTTGTGAGGCTCCCTCTGCACTGGGGTAAATTTCATCCACTAGAGAACAGGAGAATGGACTGGGTGATCTAGCAGGTCTTCCCATCTCCCATTTTGATTATAGGAAGTAACCAAACAAACCCTAGTATCATCATAGCATCCCACAGGCAGATCAGCATTATCACGGTAATTTGCTATCCTCTGGAGTGGAAAATACCTCTTCGGTAGTTTAGAGGGGAACATGGATTAGCGTTCATGTCACACTCCTGGTCAGTACTTGGCCCGGGCAGGGGAAGCTAAGGATCCAACCAGTGGACCAAATTTGGTGATGAATCCTGGTCACATGCCACCTGAGGCACATTGCACATATGCTAAGTAGTTTAAACACAGCATTTTCTGGAAATAAGATGACATTATTGTTCATTTGTGGTGAAGAGAGGGCCACATAAACTATAGAAGAGTTAAGACCCTCTTGTCTGGGAAGCTGTGATCCAAAAGGTGCTGGGAAACTGTTGCTTTGTTAAACCTTAAGGAAGTTTAAAGTAGATCAGCTTTGTTCTCAGCAGCAGATAGCAGTGCAGGCATTGCCATTACTACAGCTTTTCGTGTGCTTTTGCAAGCATATTAAATATTAAAAGGATAACACCACAACTATTGTTCTTTACAAATGATTGATCTTGGGGTGAATATTAGTAGTTAAAACAAAACAACTATCGTGAGGATCCGAGCTCATGCTGGAAAGTAGAGACAGGTGATGAAGCCATGCACATGCTTCTCACTGTGGCCAGTTTTAAAAAGGAAGCAAAGACATGTGTGTAGGAGGCAAAGCATATGTTCATAGAGCAACATGTGTGCCTTTTGTAAAATATACACTTCGGTGAGATTTCATGGAGCATAAGTCAGAGCAGAACATGTCCCTGTAGGTCCCACAAATCCTTCTCCTTAAAACCACTCAACATCTAGCAGAGTGGTTTTCCCCTTTAAGGGCTGGAAGGCCTGGGGCTACCCAACCCTGATTACTAAAGATGCAGCCCTTTGTGGAATCAGGTAGTTTCCTATAAAGGGCAGCAGGTGGATAGCGTGAAGGGGAGAAAATTCATGAAATAAGAAAGGTGCTTGTAGGAAAATACTGGATTGACAGGGTTGTTAGGAAAGTACAGGCTACTGCTGACAGAAGAATGAAGTCATGGCCAGAGGGCTGCACTCCAGTCAGAAAGATAGAGATTGGCAGCTCTGGGTGGAGTAGGCTGAGACTAGAGGAAGAGTTCTGTGTGTAGCAGAAGAACAAGGGTGAATACTATATTGACCTTTGTGTTATGGCTATGGACTTTATCTGGGGGATTTTGAAGACTGCTTGAACCATTTCTGTAATTAAACCAACCCTGGGGGGAGATGCTGTTGACCAAAAGAGAGATTATGTATGTGGTGTTCTTAAGGGGCCTGTGAGAAGGGGCTTACAGAGTAGGGTGCCTGCAAAGTGACTGCTACCTATGAGGGGGCACTCAGTAAAATGACCACCTGGTTACAATCTCCTATAAGAAGTTATCTGGGGGCTTGTTACAAAATGAGAAGTCAAGGCTGGACATCCATGGACCACATTCCATTACACGTGGTGGAAGAGGTATGACTACTCCCCAGCCTGGTGCAAATATACTGCAAAAACAGTGATTGTTTTGTTGCCTTATATAGAGTCCACCTATGCAATCCATTTCTACCAAGATTATGAATAATTGGTGCAGAGAGTTGTGCATGCCTATCATTGTTGAGACTTGGGCTGAGATCCTCACCCACAGACCCCAACAACTTGCTCCTATCATGGAGGGCCTGAGGAATAGTCTCTCTGAGTGGACAATTTCATTGTTCTTCCACTTCTGACTGTGAGTTGGCTGCCACTGCCTGACAGAATTTGGCATGTAGTGTAGAAAATGCATTTTAAAGATTTAAAATTAAAAGCTCTACTTAACAGCAATTAGGGGAACATTCCTAAGGGCTGCAGTCTGAAACCTAAAGACTATTTTTTAAGGATTGCTTTGGAAGAGGATAATAAGGTACCAAAGTAATCTGCCTTGGTAGTATAGCCAGTTTAGACAGTATCCACTACTGGGCACTCTAAATGCCAGGTAGTGTATTCCCTGATATGTTTCACTCATCCATTAGGATGATATAACTTTGTGTGAATATATGTACATGGTGTGTTTATACCATTATGGACCTCACTTTTCTTTCACATTGGTGTGAATTGGGAGTAAGTCCTTTCTAGTCAATAGTGGTATTCCACTATAGAGGAATCAGGCCCTGGGTCTCATGACATGCCAGAATATATCTGAAGTTACCCTCAACTTTGAGTATTATTTGTGTGTCCCTCCCCTATTTCAAACTTGCAGCATATTGTCCATATTTCAGTGTCTGTAGAATGGCCTTATTTACTACCAGTCAGTTCACTGATATTTAAGTGCAGTTACAACTGGGGAGGCAGGGCATGATTGAGAGGCAGTATGATTTATGCTAGATATAATGGAAACATAGGATGGGATTCACCTTTATACCATGACCGAGGGGAAACTTTATTTTACAGACAATATTTGACCATGTGGAATGCCCTTTTTTCAACATACAAGGATGATGTGTATGGGACTGTGACTGCAAACAGATGACATTTCCCACAGTTCTAGGAAGTGATAGTAATAAATTTGGTAGGCTCTGAAAAAAATGGTTTTTTTACAAACACTGAAAGTTACTGACAATTCTTAACTTACACTATTAGTTTTAATCTGAATAACATGCTAAAATAATACATGTATTAGAAATCTTCCATATCAAATTAACATCAAGATTGTATTTGTTCAAAAGGACACCATTTCTCCATTACATTTCAAATCCCATCAGAATATTGAGTTAGAAATAATACACGTTGGATGAACTACAAATGTAAAATATGCTCTCATATAGCATTGCAAATTAACATGTATTTATTTTTCAAGAACTGAGTTCTTTAAAGATATGAAAATGGAAGAATCTCTTTATTTTTTTTTAACATTTCCACAATGTTAACACACACCAGTTTTCTCTTAGATATTGCACTGTGCAATAGTGAAATACAGTCATTTCCAGCTCAATTGTCCACCAGCTTCATGGAGTGTTGTAATGTTTGCTTACGCAAATCCATGAGGACAGATTATCAAAGCCTTGGGACACATGTGACCTCTTTCAAGACCTCAGGGTGATTTGTGCCTGAGAAATGCCATTAGAGATAACGTGTGCCTCTGAAGTCTTGCAAATAACCATTGTAGGCCTCACTTACACTTTAGAAAATTGGTAGGAAATGAATTTATTTCACAACACAGGAGTGTGAGGCATTTGTTATGATTTCAGAGGAAGCTGCCGTTTCACCTTAAATAGCAGCTGGGATGTACAGAATTACCATGGAGGTGGAGGGAGGGGGAATACTTGAATCTGCTGTGGAAGCCAGATCTTAGAAGCAAAGGGCAACATGATGCCAGTATCTGTGCTAGACGGAGGAGGGAGTGCAGGGAACAGTCTGACACGTGCCTGGTACACAAGTGCAGGAGACCAACACTAGGTGGCTCTAGGAGGTCTGATGTATAAGGGGGATGGCTGACCTTAACAGGAGTTGTTGGTACATTGGTCAGGGGTTGAAACCCCTCTGAAGCTATGCTGATCATGATCTGGAAGGAGGAGTAGAGAGGACCATGGAGCCAGCAGGAAGACACAGGACCTCCATGCAGACACCGGTGGCGCCACAAATTGTTTAAGATTCATATGTATTTTGGGGGAATCTTCAGACTTGAGAGCAGAACAGTCTGTTCCTTCCTTCCCTTCTTCCTGTGTTTTCCCTTGCTTCTTACAGAGAAATCTGGATGAAACTCAGTGAGAGGGGCCTTACAAAGTTACCTGTCCCTTGCATGGGACAATTCTACTTGAGGGAGGTTGGGCCCAGTACAGTTTACTTCAGCGTAAATGTGGGAAGAGCAAAGATTTCCCCACCTGGTGGGTATAAATGTCTTCATAAAGAATCCTAAATGATTTATTGGATGCAAAGTTAGAATGGTTAGGTCTGTGCAAAAATATTATGGTCCCAATCCTGCAAACATGTAAGCATCTGCTACGACATGAGTAGAATTATGTATGTGTTTATTCTTTTAGCATCCTTGTCTACGGTGCCTGGTATTATTAGGCCAATATCCCCGTTTCTCCATCCCATCCCAAGTTTGTTTCTCTAGAGGTAGTCATGGGGTTTTTCTCTAATTTAAATTATGATTCTCAGTCTAAATACATACTCTGAGGGCTTGTCTACATGGAGCCTGAGTGTGCAGCAAGCCAGTGTGTGAATGGACAATACACTAGCTTTCTGCACACTAACTAGTTGTAGGGACCTTGCTGTCACTCACTAAAAATTTCATATTGTGCTCTGGCATACTGCTGTGTCAAACAACAGTATGTCAAAGCACACTACGGAACCTGTAGTGTACAGACGAAGGGTCTACATGGTGACTTAACACATGGCAGGCTTGTGTTCACATCCTGGCTTACCGCACACTAAGTTTCCATGTAGACAAGCCTTGAGATTGACAACAGTCATGCATAATAAATTAGAAAGATGTTAGTTATGACAGCCTGTGCGGAATTAAATTGGTGTTACTTGCTAAAATGAGTGAAGGGAAAGTGTATAGCTAGCTAATATGGCATGAAACTTACATCATGAAAACCTTCTGCTTTCTGTTGTTTTATTTCAGTTCTAACTTATTTGGAGTTGACCCTGGGGGATTTTAGTGATCAAAGAGATGTGCCTGTAGTATTAATGAGGCATAACAGAACAAGACACTGCTCACACTGTTGAGTGAACTGCCATTCTCCTCAGATTTGACTTTCATCCTTGCTGCTCTCCAACCTCCGATGTCTTCTGAGTAGAAACTGCTAACTACATGATTAAGTAATGGTTTCATGATATGGACAAATGTACGCTGCAGAGAAAATATTTATTATAACATGGTTTTGTCTAGATTTACCTGTTTCAGTGGATAATCTTGTTCGGGTACTTCTTTTCTCAAAAATCATGGCTAAAGATTTTCCTTGCAACAAAGGCAAATACTGAAAAACAAGAACGGAAAGGGATTTGGAAAATTGTTCACTCATTATTCATTATCTAATATTTGCTTCACAGTTTAATGGCTGCAGGAAATTAATAATAAAAGCAGTCATTGTATCATTTCTAATCCCTTGCCCCTCCAAATTCGTCACTAGCATTGGGAAGAGTTTGGGAGAAACAGAAAGTTCTATGGGCAAAAAGCATCTACATTTTTTTGTTTTGTTGTTTTAAACAAATGAAAGAGATCTCTGATTCTTATCTTGCTCCTACACTACATACAGAATAATGCTCCTATTCCTGTAAATCTTTACTTCTGCTTGTAGCCCAACTGAAATCATTGGGAATATCCAATAACAGGGAATTAGATAAGGGGTACACACTTTTGAACAGCATAATTCCCCTACTTCATCCAAAGAACAACATTTTGCCTTTTACTGGCTGGCCCTTCATTTGATGTATACAATTTACACTAATTAAGGGTTGAAGTGGTTGTTTAGGACAAGCCAGTTTAGTTGCTGATTCACATTACCTTGTATGACAATCTTGATTTGGTGAGCTGAGTGACTGAACAAGTAAAATGGATTTTAAGTGACATTTTACATACCTCTCCCTTGTCCTTTATTCTTTGTTTCAAATCTGATGCCGTCCATAGCAAATACTTTATTTCTTCCGCTGTGTAACTTTGCAGAGTTAGGAGGTCACGACCTTTCAGATTAATATTAGTTTGAGTTGGTTGCCCAGACCTACAACAAAAACAGGCTCTTTGTCATTGGGTATTAATATGTTACGCATGCTAAAGCTAATGTACAACCAGTTAGCCCTCTTTCACTACTATCATTTGACGCAGCAAGATAACCTTCATGGCCTGTGATAATTAATTTGTGACTTTTCATCTCACACTAGGGTGACCAGACAGCAAGTGTAAAAAATCAGGACGGGGATGCGGGGTAATAGGTGCCTGTATAAGAAAAAGCCCCCAAAATCAGGACTGTCCCTATAAAAGCGGGACATCTGGTCACCCTATCTCACACAGCCACAACACTGCACTGTTCGCTATATTAATCACCATTGTAACCATCTCTCTTATTATCATCCATGAAACTGATTTTGTTTCTTATAACTTCTAGTATTTGTATCTGGGTTATATAATCAAATAAACCCAAATGTAGAAAACCACTCAGGGTCTGGTTAAACACTTAAGGCTGCATTGTAGCTTGTTTTGTACAGGGGTGCAAAGAGTTGGGGCAAGATGGCTCCCTGTGCTCTTTTTCCCAATCCCAACTCTGGGGTGCTGGCTCAGGACTGCTCAGATGGATATAAATAAAGTTTGATTTGTGAACCACACGCACACATTTTCAAATTCATTTCCAGAAACTGATATTGCCAGTAAGAGAATCCAGCAGCTCATTGCTCAATATTTGATGAGAGAGGGGGTAGGTCTGAGGGCTCATTCCAGAACCAGATGAAATGGAATATTTCTAGTCTCCCACAGAAGTGACACTGCAAAGTTCATATTATCTTAGATGGCACATGACTTGAGCAAACAGCCGAGTAAAGCCAATATTCTATAACCTTAAACCAAATAATGGAGACTGATGGGTAATTTAACCCTTTCTCTGCTAAACAGGGACTGATTATATCTGCAACCCTCTTTATTGTAACACAACTTGCACTTCACTAGTTCTAAAGTTTAGAAGGTCCTGCGCCAAGTATGTCTTTCTCATTAACTGCAGTGACTTTAATTAGATCAGAGTCAAAACACCAAGAAGAATGAAGTAATACATGAATGGAGTTGGTGGGGTTTTATTGGCAAATACCTCCAAGCCAATGCTCAGTTGCAACTGCTTCCAGCTGACAAGTCTTGGAGGCCAGGAATTTCAGAAAAAAAATTCCCCGGAGTGCTACTAGCAGTTGAGCTGAATGGGAGCACCATGCCATACGAAGCTCTGGTGGCTTTTTCTGTCTTTACCATCATGTCAAAATAGTGGGACTCTTTTTCTACAATCCCTCTGGCATAGGCAGGACCTGGAACTCTGCACACTCAAGGTTCCAGACCTTAAGTTGTGGCACCACACACAGGCACTGCAGTTCTTAAATCTTCATGTGCAAATATGACAGATCTCATAGTCTGTCACATTTTCAACCCAAGAAGCAGTAGTTCTCCCTATAACTGAAAATATCCATTCGAAACACTGTTTTATTACTGACCCCTTTAAAAATGTTTGCTCCATCAGATAAATTCCGTCCTCAACTCCTTTGGTGCAGAGGGCTTCTTTGCAGTGGAAATGATGCAGTAGCTGCACAAGTAGGGGTAGGATGTGGGGCGGTTGCCCTGCGTGGCATAAAGCCCAACCTATTGGGATTCACTATATGCTGTCATACAGAGGGGTGGTGGACTGCAGGGAGGCGCTGGGTCACCACTGGATCCACCGCTAAGCTAACCTGGTTCTTATCCCCAGGGGCAGGGAAAACTATTCCCAAAGAGGCTACTCTAGCCATTAAAGATATATACTGCAACCTTGCTCCCACTAAAGTCAATTGCAGAACACCCATGGATGTCAGTGGGTGGAGGATCTAGCACAAAAAGAGATTCCACCAAAGTTGGCACAGGAATGTCAATTGAAAACTTTCCTATTTAAAAAGATTCAGAAGATTCAAAAAGATTTATACCTGGTCAGAAGTGGTTAGTAGTGTGCACTAGCATCTGGGCCTGATCCTGCACTCATTCTGCACATTCACACACAACACCTGTTGACATCAGGGAGTTTTGCATATGAAATAACTGCAGCATCAGACTGGATTGTTTTACTGTTTTCCTCACCCCCACCCCCTCCAAATGTGGAAGTTTGTTTCAGGGGATATGTATGGCATAGAGACAAGGAATAAGAGTAGCCTTATGATGGTATTTACCAAAGAGAAAATGGGACACCATGTGGGGCTAGCCTGAGCACCCCACAACTCCCATGGGTCTGTCCTGAGCCATTCGCCCAAGTCCCCCTACGCCCCCCACCCAGGGCTGGCCCGAGCACCCATACCTGCACAAGGTTGGCATCACTGCGTGCAAGCCCTGTCTGCCCCCTCTGTGCAAGGCTGGGGGCTGGCATGGCTGCTTGCTTGAGCCCTGCCTCCCCCCCCCTTATATAGGGCTGACATCACCGCTTGTCCCCTCACATGTTCAGCCGCACCCCACCTTTTTGTCAAAAGGGGGCATTTGTCCCATTTGCTCTTGCCAACTGACAGGGCTTAAAAAAGGAACTGTCCCAGCCTAAACAGGACATATGGTCACCGTAGAGTAGCCCATATTATTTTTTAAATCTGACACTGATGGGTTGTTATAGGATGGAATTTTCACAAGCATTGGTATAACTGTGTGAAGTCAATGGTAAAACACTCACTGACTTCCATGGGAGCAGAGTAAGGCCAACCTGGAGCACTTTTGAAAACCTCACCCATAATTATTTTACATTTTCTTAGTAACAAACATCTATTAGTTGTATTTTAGTAGCTCTGGGCCAGGTTTACAAAGGCATCTAAAGACGTGTGTAGTAGAGCTGGTTGAAAAATTTCTGACAGAACTTTTCCTCCAGAAAATGCTGCTTTGTGGAAACATTCTGTGGGAAGGTACATTGACACTTTCCATAGAAACCAACCTGCCTAGTTTCCTGCTAGCCCAAGCTCCCCAGCCTGCTGGGCAGCTGCCATCTGGAGCTTCCTAACTCTGCAAGCAGACAGCTCTTTGAGGAGTCAGGCAACACCAAGAGGCAGCTGCCCTGGGAGTCAGGCAGCCAGGAGCAAGCTGAAAGCTCCCATTTCTGGTTCTCCCAGAAAGGAATTTTTCAGAATTTTCCTCTCCAGAATATTTTTGATTTTTTTTTTACTTTGCCCTGACTTGGAACAATTTTTTCTCTCCAAAACATGGACATTTTCCACTGAGAGAGAAATTCCATTTTCCTGCCAGCTCTAATAGTTAGTCATCTAGTGCAATATACAAAAGCACCTAACTCTCATGGTTAGGAGATTTTGTAAATCCCACTAGATGCCTAGCCATATATCTAGATGCCTAAATCCCTTTGGAAATTTGGCTCTTTGAAGTTCACAACATTTGTTAAACCAACAGACTAGTAGATCCTAATTTTTAAATCTATATGTTCTGTTGTTCTTAGCGAGATATTTCTGAAGGGATAGGTTTTGTGGGCTAACAAGATCTATAACTTTGTCTAGCAAAACGTAAAAATAAAACACTATAAAAATAAAGCAATAAAATAAAATTCAAAATTAAAATTGAATAACTAAGAAAACAACTAAAAATCACACAAAGCACTCAGTGCTATCCTTGCAACCCATACAGGTATGGTATAACCAGCAAAATCCTTGACTTGCATGTATGTTCAAGTGCTCTAGCTGATTTTACAAGATACACACTGACATATACCTGGGCGCTGAAGAGCAGATTTGACTTTGAGCCTTCATATGTATTGGGTAGTCTTCACAATCTCATGAAAAATAAAATAGCAAGGCAGACTAAATAACAGCTTAAATGTGATTCTGCTTCTAACTTTTATGGATATATACTGTAAGAAAACTTTGTTTCTTGTTTCCCTTTTTTTAGATTAGGGCAGGGTGAGCAGGTCACTGAACTGATTGGAACATAAAGAGATGGCATGGATTTTGTTTGTTTGTTTGTTTGCTTGCTTTTTTCTGAATGGCTCTGGGGAGTAAATGGAAATATTCAATTATTTGACTTCCAGGTTTTTAGCAGATCATCTGAAGCCTAATGTTAAATGTCACCAGACTTTGGGGCCCATGCATTAGTTCTACTTCTATGGCTCTGCAACCTCTTGCTGCTCAGTCACTCCACTCTCCCTCACTGAGTTGTCTCTAACATTTTATTGTTTCCAGCTCTAAAAAAATTTCAGCCAAATTCTGCATGACCCATACTGCTTTCCAAGATTTATTAGCTATGGTCGTCAGCAATGTGTAGTGTTCCTTTGAGGGCCGCCAGTGTCTTTTCAAATGAGGCATTACTGACCAAATAAATACTAGTGGCAGTTGGTATACAGGGAAGCAAAATTAAAGTGTAATGAAAAAAATCATAAGCCAAATAGTTTTTTCTTTTTGAATGGGAATGGCAATTTCCTTCAATCATTATAATAACTGGTTGACTTCCTTGAGCTCTAAACCATCATTTGGTTAGCTGGCATTGATCAGAGCTTATGGTGATATCTTAAGTTTGTAATGGTTGTGTTAACATAGTCTCCCTTATAATCCGATTTAGAGGGTAGTTATGGCTCAAAAAGTGTAAAAATAGCATAGAGAGCCCAATTAAGTTAGGTGGCCACATTTGAGAAAGGGGAGCCACTGTAGTTATTTCCCCATAATGACTTCCATATCAAGTTTGCTAACCAAAGCAATATTTTGCTAGTCACCAGCAATGCATATGCCAAGCTGGGACTACTACAGGGCATCCTTCATATGGGGGAACGAATAAATCAGAGAGCTCAGAAAACATTTTCAAACTGGTCCAAAGGAGAAAGAAGGCAAATGAAAATGACTTTTATGGTTTAATGGGATCTGTGCGTATGTAATCCTTGCATACAGTTTTTGAACACTTAAAACTTGTTACATCCTGTTCCCATTGGAGTCAATGTCAAAACATCCAAAGATCTCAATGATGCAGCGTCAAGCCCTAAGTCTCTAATTTTAACTTGTTTCTCACGTTGTGACAAGGATTGAAAACAGAGTAATTAAATATTGTCATAGATGTATTTTTCAGAGGCCCACATGAGATGCCAAATCTACACTGTTGAAACAATTACAGCGAAGTGCTGCTCTCAGATCTCCATGGTTAGTCTTGACCCTGGTATTATGCTCTTCCTGCATGCATGGATTATATGGCGAGAGAGCAGAACACTAACGCTGAGATTCACTGTGAAGCTGCGAAGGGAGAATTTTCCCCTTCAGTATTTGATCAAAATACTTGTCTGTAGAAATTACAGTCCCTTACATTATATTCAGATATGTGACTGGGTGTTTATGATACGTGATGATGGTACCTCCAGAGATTAATTGAATTGAAGAAAAAACAAATATTTCAGTGTGTGCTGCTGACCATTTGCAAAGAATTTAACATGATTCCACAAGGACTGAAAAGTGAAAGGATAAAAACCCTCCAGTCTCATGTGCAATTACAGTCTGCTGCTGAAAACAAAGGGCAAAACAGCTCTAAGAACACTGAAGGAGGCCTTTAGCTGAGATACTGATCTCTCTACAGAACTCATTACTTTAGTTTCCAGGTTTATGATTCAATGTTGCTAACTGAAGGACAAATCTAAATGATACACTTACCGAAAATGTTGCACCAGTTGCTTGCTGCCATTTCTTAAAGTTGCAGCATTGAGCAGGTTCCGCAAATTAAAGAGCATTTTCTTTTAGAATGAAAGTTGCCTTAGTCCTGGGAGCAAAGTCAACTGATCTGAAGTTACATGAATCAGAGACTGCTTTATATGCTTCAGGGAGAGAGCAAAGGTAAGTATCATGATGAGGCAACCTTATCTTGCATTTTCCTAGTTGTGAAATTTGAGCCTGCCCAGAGCTGAGGTTGAATCTCCCCTTATTCAGATTCTACAGATAGATGTTTCTCACAAGGTCAGTTGCTCAACTCATTGTGCAATTGCATGAGGGACCATTACATTACGGCAGTATCAATGTTATTTCTTAACAATGCCATGCTATTAGGTATTTGTACATGAGAGTAAGATCATGGATAAAACTAAGAAGAATGCGGAGCAGCTAAATTTATTTTTAAGTATACCTCTACCCCGATATAATGCTGTCCTTGGGAGCCAAAAAATCTTACCGCGTTATAGGTGAAACCGCGTTATATTGAACTTGCTTTGATCCGCCGGAGTGTGCAGCCCCGCTCCCCTGGAGTGCTGCTTTACTGCGTTATATCCAAATTCATGTTATATCGGGTTGTGTTATATCGGGGTAGAGGTGTATTCTAAAATTGTTTGCCTTTTAGGAGAAAACTTTCAAATTGTGCCACGGTGCTCTACATGTAAGATTCTCAATGAGGTTAAAGAGTTTAATCATTTTGTTTGTCTCTGGAAATTTACCCCTTCATCTTAAGCTACTTACAAGATTTGGTTAGGGTGACCATATTTCCTAAAGGGAAAATGGGACACTGCACGGGGCTAGCCCCAGGCGCCCCACTCCCTGTCTGCAAGGCTTGCCCAAGCTGCTCGCCAGAGCCCTGGCCGCCACCCTCCCACCCCCTTGCGAGGCTGGAGCATGATCACCGCTTGTCTGAGCCCTGCCTGCATGGGGCTGGCATCGCCACTCACCTCCCCCCACCCCACACATTCCTCCGCACCATACTTTTTTGGCAAAAGTGGGCATTCTGTTTGCTCTTGCCAACTGATCAAGTTGGCAAAAGCAAACGGGACAAATGCCCACTTTTGCCAAAAAGGACAGGATTATTGGGACAGGACATAAAAAATGGACTGTCCTGGCCAAAAATGGGATGTATGGTCACCCTATACTTGGTGAATTATGTTATTGAAAAATGTGCTCCTTTGATCGCATTTTTTTATCCGCTACATTCAGAAACTCATCTAGAAGCTTCATATATTCTTGGCAACTTTGGTTTTATTTTGCCTCAGCTGAAAATAATGGGAGTTTCCCCATTGACTTTAGAAGAAGAATTGATCCTCATTTCTTTGTTTTTTAATCTTGTTCCAATTTTCTGTTTTTCATGATCACATTTGTTTATTATTTTGTAATGATCCCATAAACTAGTCCAAACCTTTCTAAAGTAATCAACAAGAAACATGTTGTCTTTTTGTTTAATGGCCTATAGGTTTCTTTGTGTACAGTGTTGTTCTAGCTTTGTTGGTCCCAGAATATTAGAGAAACAAGGTGAGCGAAATAAATCTTTTATTGGCCCAACTTCTGTTGGAGGGTAAAATGCTGAAGAAGCTCTGTGTAGCTCAAAAGCTCGTCCTTCACCAACAGAAGTTGGGCCAATAAAAGCTATCACCTCACCAACCTTGTCTCTCACTGTTTCTTTGATATTCTCTATGGAGAAGGCAAGGGGACATGCCATATGCTCAACGTAGTTGGGGCAATGCTCTATAAATTGCTAAAGTGTTTTTGCAAGGAAATCTGCTTTATTTTTTGCCCTCTCATAGTGAAGTATTGCTGACAGCAGAGAAAATAATGTAATCAAAGAGGCAGAATGGTCCAGTGGTTAGGGGGTTAGGCTGGGATTTGAGAGACCTGCTGGATTCAATTGCCTATTCTGCTACAGATCTCCTGTGTGACCTTGGCATCTCAATTTGGGGCCAGATGTTCAAAGTACCTAAGCTGATTACCATTGAAATGAAATGAGAGTTAGACACCTAACCTTCTTAAGGATTTTTAAAAATCTCATTAGACACCTCTCTCTGTCATTAGGCACCTAAATACCTTTGAAAATCTGTCCATTAATTTCTCAGTTCCTCATCTGGGAAGTGGAGATAATAATACTTTCCTACCTCATCGGGGTGTTGTGAGGCAAAATAAAGACATTAATGATTATGAAGTACTCAGATACTACAGTGATGGAGGTTGGGGGGAGGGTGTATCAGTACCACAGACAACCTCGTTATCTCCATACTGATTAGGGTTACCATATTCAAAAAATAAAAAAAGAGGACACTCCACGGGCACTGGCCCCGCCCCTTTCCCACCCGGTCCCACCCCAACCCCGCCCCTTCCCCGCCCAGATCTGCCCATTCCCCACCCCTTCCCCAAAGTCCCCGCCCTAACTCCCCCTCCTCCCTCCCAGCCACGCGAAAAGGGCTGCCCGGCAAACCGTGAAGCCGGTAGCGCTCGGGCTTCGGACAGCCCCCATGCCTCCGGACCCTGCACCCCCGGCCGGGCACTTCCCCTCCCGGGCTCCGGTGGCTGTGCTCCTCCCCTGACTCTTTGGCTCTGTTTAAGAGCCGAGTTGTCCGAGCGCTACTGGCTTTGGGCAGCCCCATGCCTCTGGACCCTGCGCCCCCGGAGCCCGGGAGGGGAAGTGCCCGGCCAGCAGCTCAGGGTCCGGAGGCATGGGGGCTGCCCGAAGCCGGTAGCGCTCGGGCAGCTCAGCTTTAAACAGAGCAGAAGAGTCAAGGTAGGGAGCACAGCAGCCGCGGGAGGGGAAGTGCCCGGCCGGCGGTATTTTTCCCGGACGTGTTCGGCTTTTTGGCAATTCCCCCTGGACGGGGGTTTGCTTATCAAAAAGCCAGACATGTCCGGGAAAAAATGGACATATGGTAACCCTAATACTGATTCTTGCCTGCGTATTTATACCTGCGTCTGGAAACTTCCATTACATGCGTCTGACGAAGTGGGCATTCACCCACGAAAGCTTATGCTCCAATACATCTGTTAGTCTTAAAGGTGCCACAGGACTCTCTGTTGCTTTTTACAGACAGAAGGAAAATTAAGGCTCATATACATACAGTCATTTGTTCCCTCAACATTTGGCAGCAGTATTTTAAAGCTATAGAATGCAATGTGAACTGGCAATAAAAGGGCCCAGTCCAAAGTCCACTGAAATCAATGGCAGGACTACAACCGCTCCAGTTCCAAGCTCAGTAGTGACAAGAGTATTTCAGTTTGTCCTTGAATACAAATGTAGCAGCCTTAGATGCAATCAGGTAATGTGTAATAATAAAAAATAATAATTAATAATATAATAAAGTATAAAAGCATTTGTTTCCTTGACAAAACTTCTTTGTTACTAGGCTTTCTCTTTAACTATTAGTTTAAAAAAATACTGAAATGAAAGCAGAATCACCAGCAAACACATCTTTTTATTATATTATTTATATTGCAGTAGAATTTAGCAGCCTTAGTTATGGGCCAGGACCTGCTCATTCTAGGTACTGTACACGCACTTTTAGAGTATAGATTGCTATATTTTTCTTTAAGCAGGGAACTGTAATAGTTACAGCCCAATACAATATGCACTGTTGCCAACTCCCATGATTTTATTGCAAGCCTCATGATAGTTGGTCTTTTACTTAAAGCCCCAGCTCCTGGAGTCAGGAGATTATGTGAGCATTTCAGCATTCATTTTTTTTAAAGTAAGTTTGTAACCCACATGGCTATGGAGAAAAGCTTGAAAATGTGCCCTATGTACACCCTGAAAGTTCAGGAATTATAAGGCAAGTAAAGAGAATGTGAAAATATAAATATATATATTTTGCAATGTCATGATTTTGGGATACCTGACTCATGATTAGTGAATGCTAGGGTTTGGCAGTGCTGAGTATATGCATACATATTATGCACTAGCCAGCTATGAACAAGAACGAGTCTGGATTCTGATCACCCCAGAAACCACTGAAACTTAGTTCTTTGTACCATGTCATCTGACCTCTTTGATGTTCAGGCAATCTTATGACTCGCATTAGTTACCATGTGTGTCTGCTCCCTATTTCTTTTTGTCTACAGTGACATGTGATAATGTATGAAGTTTTTCTTGATGACCCAGAGTCCATTCTGAGGCTCGAGGCCCAAGCTGGGTGGTGTTTGTTTTATAAAAAAATTCATTCGCATTTTAAAATGAAGTGTAATTTTAAAAAATGACTTAGAAATGGGGTTTTAAATTAGGAACTATATTTTGAGTGCCATAATTGTATTTTTATTTACAAACACATTTGTATTAAAAACTGTTTTCCAAACAAAATCACTGCAAACTGTAAGAGCCAAGGCCAACATCCACAAAGGTATTTAGGTTCCTAACTTCTAGAAAACAGCATTTTCAAGTTTCAGCCTAAACTGAAATTGACAAGATTTCTAATTTACTTTCAGGAGCCCTCATATCTTTTCAGTTTCCCTCCTTCTTTTACATCTGATCTGACCATTCTCAAATGACCTCCTCTATGCTAACTTTTTTTCAACTTAGGCAGGCTGGACACTGCTCCTTCTAGGGCCTTTTAATATTGCCCCATACATCAACAAAGAGAGTTGCTATTGTCCTCCTTTTCAGTCTGTTTGCCCAGAAAACAAGGGCTAGCCCTGAGACTGTTTTAAAAATGTTTTCTTTTATTCATTCCACCCTGGAATCAAAAGCTACTTCCTCTTAATGTTCCCAATTTCATCGCTTTCATAAGCTGTATTTGGCATCTGACGTACCCTCTTTACTTTGTTAAGTAAGTCAAGTTGCAAAGTAACTTGTGTTCATTTATTTGCTTAGTTGAACCTTTGATTCATGGGCGGCGGGTATAACAGGCCAGCTGCTGTGGCTGCCGGACCCTCGATTTTTTGGGGGGATGGTTTTGATTTATTATGGCCCATGGACTCCAGGGAGATTACTGATGAACCCAGGAAGCTGAACAGCAAATACTGCCTCCTCAGCCACCCTGAAACCTGCAAGGGACATATCAAAAGCTTCTTCCGGACCTTAGAGACACTTTTCCCCAGGCAGCTTGGGCTCTGGGGAGGGCAGGGAGGGGAGGTGTGGCTGCA